GTATTATATGGAAGGTCAGTGTATTCTTATTTTAGTGCTCCGTGTAGTTCAGGCCTTTTCAAACCTTCTATAACATTTTTTCATCTATATACTCAACACATTTCATTTTTTAAAATGTCTTCGTATTATATGCATTCACATACCCACTGTTCCATTTCTTCAATAGCGATATTATTCTCACCTATCATATTTTTTTTCCTACTTTGACAATAGCCGTGCTTGAATGGTGAAAGATGAAATTCTAACAGAAATTCTCTTTTAATGGCCAATCATTTTATGTATCAGATTACATAAACATTTACTTACACAAGTTTACACAATCTTTGTTATATTAATAAAACACAAATATTTTCACTAAACATTTTTATTGAACTGACAACTAAATTACAAGTTGAAAAAAGTTCAGTACATTGTAAGCAAATCTAAGCATAATGGAAAAAGTATTCCACACTACACAAAAAGTTACATCTTAAGAGCTCGTACAAATGAACAGTTTATAATTGTACCCACCACTGCAGAGACATATCAAAATACTAAAAACAATAAATTTAACAGGTGTAAAGATAATCACATTCAGTAATGATACTGTTTCTTATTGACCAAGCAACAGTTCAGTGGAAAAACACCTTCATACAGGGGGCCAGAAAAGTTGGCATGCTCAATGTGGTAACAACTTTGTGATTGTCTTCATAAATACCTGTCAAACTCCAATGCAAAATTACACAACACACAGATAATTGTCAAAACTGGTGGTTTTCAGAAAGACTTTTAATTTCTTACCTACTCAATTTGTGGCTGTTCTATAATTGAACTTCTATGGAACTCCAGTCTTTCAACCTGATGCTAGTCATGTGAGGTTACATAGACCATTTACTAAAAACTTACACCCAAATAAAATCCAAATCTACAGACTATTTCCAAACCAGGTATTTCATGATGACATATCTAGTCAACAGTCACTAAAAAAGTAACTTAATAAGGTTAGTTAAACAAATCACTAATGAGACTATGAACATTGGAATGTTTCATATTATGTGATACAGATTATACATGAAATAACAACACTGCTTCATAAAATAACCTTATAACTAATTATGTAAGTTTGTTTGGTTTAAAAGATGAAAAGATTAACCTACGTTTTCAGCACTGCCAACAATTCTGACCCAATAAAGTCAACAATCTTAGAACAAACATTATTTAAGCCATGAAAAAAAAATACAGCCTGTTATTTTCATAATAAAATGAAACTTTCATTATCTGTACAAAATACATTTCTAGAGAAGACCAAAAACTGTGAAATAGAAATCACAAAAATCTGAAAGTCCACAAAAACAAATAAGCCACAACTTGACAGTTTCAAGAAAAGATTACATCTCCAAAAATACAAATATTGACAAACAAGGTTAAGTACTGGTGAATTACAACAAACATACTGACGAAAATATTAAACAAACAATTTTGATAAGAAATCTAAAAAATACAAGTAATATTCCTGTTAGTATTTAAGCTAAAACTGCTAAAAATATGAGTAGATATATCATAATAACTTTTAAATAAAACGATTTGAGTACTTTTGAATCACATGTAAAAAAGTGTTCATTAGCAGTGTACAAAATGAGTAGATTGAAAAAAAATGGGGAACATATTTATATTTAAAGGATACATAAAATGCATAATACAAAAAATGCTTGTTAGCCATTTACAAGATCAGTAGATTAAAGAAAAGGAGGAACACAAATATTTAAATTTGAAACGTAAAATACACTCACGCTCTTTAAAAAAATGAGTGATACAAGGGACCAAAATCACATAAAGAAAAGCCACAGAAAGTATATTCATTTTAATCTATGAAAATATTTACCTCACTTAAAAAGCATGACTAGAGGTAAGCATTGTGTAAATATTCAAACATATTTTACTACTACATACATAACATACACACAGATACCGTTATACAATATTAATATCAACTGTTAAAATCTTTAAACACAAATGCTACCATACAGTTCTTTGTATATTCAACTGAGGCTTTGACAGAGTGAAAGCATTTTTTAAAATATATAATAATGATGAAAATAAAATACTGTATACATATTTATGGTAATTAATTATAAAATATTTAAAAATAACTATACAAAATATATATAACCACTATTTCTTTGCTGTTACTGATCATCACTTGGTTTCACATGAGCTTAACATCATCACATTCACATCCAAACAGAATATTTTAGGGAATTTAAGAGAGTTCTACATGACATTAAAGGCAATATTGCATCCTTTTGCAACCACTGTTTTCCTAACAGACTCTAGCTGCACTAGTCACGACAGATAATATATGGCAATAGTATATGCAGATTTGTCATTATATTGTTAGCATATACAAAAAAATAGTTCATTATTTCTGACAAATTAGTAGCATCTGCCAAGATGGCAACTGCTAAGAATATTATAGTAAATGTAAAGATCGCAAAACTGACATATGAAAAATAATTCTCAATAATTAATTAATTTATTTTTAAAGAAATAAACTATATTTAAGATGAAGTCTTTATTCTGCTTAATTTACATAATGATAAGTTTCTCTTTTTCAAAATAACTGTTACAAAAATAAAAGGTTACAAAAGGTTTTATCAAAGGTCATTAGATGTTTCTTTAGGATGTTCCTGATACACAAATGTGTCTAAATTACATATTAAAATGGCTGATCAAACACCCAAAAACAATACATAATGCATTTTGAAAAGGAATGTTATGAGTTAAAGATCACACATATATATTTCAATATATCTATGACTATTAACTGAAACTAGTATTTCTTTAAAATAATATCAACAAAATAAAAACAATAATTTACTGAGAACCTATAAAAATATTTACTGTAGAATTTAACATGTATAATATTAGCTGTGCTCATTCACCTCCAAAAAATTCAGCTCATTAAATTGAATATCATAGGGCAAAATCATTTGTAACTGATCCATTGGATTATCTGATTTTATTATAATCACTGTTTTTACTGTTAAATAAATAAAACAAAACTAGCCATATCTTACTGCCTCTTATATAAAATTACTTTTATCTTTCTTCCTTCGATACAGTTACTTTTCAAAAAACCAAGTTATACCTTTAAGCCTTCCTGTAACATTTAAAAAACCAAACAAAAACAAGTTTCACCGTTTAATCTAACTGGTGAATTTCAAAACAACAGTTTTAACCATTTAACATTACTGTCACATTTTACAAATAGTTTAAACTTCCTGTCATGTTTAAAAAGTAAAGATGCATAAGAGATTTCTCCTTTTAATTAATAGAATTTCAAAATAAAACTTAGTTCATCTTTTAATTAAACTGCTACATTAAATTTAAAACACAAATTTTCACTTTTCAACCAAACACTTTCATTTTATATGTTAGTTTTAGATTTGATAAGAAAAATAAAACCTACTTGTAACATTAAATTTTATTTATACAATGCATTTTTCAAACTAGTTATGTATTAACCTTATTGTTTAATTTTATAAACTAGTTATATCCTAAAACTTTACAATTACATTCTCAACAACAATCTTTAACATCATACAGTGATAATTCCAACAATGGTCTTTAACACCATACAGTTACATTCCCAACAATGGTCTTTAACACCATACAGTTACATTCCAAACAACGGTCTTTAACACCATACAGTTACATTCCAAACAACGGTCTTTAACACCATACAGTTACATTCCCAACAACGGTCTTTAACAATATAGTTACATTCCCAACAACGATATTTAACACCATACAGTTACATTCCCAACAACGGTCTTTAACCATCATACAGTTACATTCCAAACAACGGTCTTTAACACCATACAGTTACATTCCCAACAACGGTCTTTAACAATATAGTTACATTCCCAACAACGATATTTAACACCATACAGTTACATTCCCAACAACGGTCTTTAACAACATTGTTACATTCCCAACAACGATATTTAACAAC